AATTGACAAAATCCTACACACTGTGCCTTTAAAATACATAAGTAAAAATATTTATCTGAGTATAGTACTACCCCCAACTTTATGGATGATTGCATGGATTTAATTTTACGTATTATACTTGAATAAATACGGTACTTCGTTTTACAAAAGTCAGCAAATCAGTTACACCAATAACATATTAGCAACTTTTAGCACGATGGTGCTACTGTGACAAAAAGACAAACATATTTAATAAATTCACTTCCTTAATTCTTTTAATTTGTACCATGTTGGTCCAGCAGCACCATGATGCTGTCTCTGTGGGTGTGGCCATAAAACTGTCCTGCAACAACGTGGCTGAACTTCCTGAAGATGGACACCAGCCTCTCGTTGTGGACTTTCCTGATAGCGGTGGTGTTTCCGTAAAAGGGCAGATATCCCACAGGAACGTGGGCTATGATGTAAACCTAAACAAACAGATTCATGCGCAGAGATTAAACTGACTTTAAAACCCAGCGTGCAGGYACACAAAGCAGGTTTACACACCTTCTCCTTGTTCTGGGCAGCTTTCTCCAGGGTTTTCTCCAACCACACGAACTGTCCAGCCGGGTCGCTCAAGTTAGCTGTGACCTGATCAGGACCGTAGTAAAGGATGGTGTTGAGACTCACCAACCGTAGAGCAGGCTTTACCAGCTGGGAGTAGAAACCACCTGCAGGTGCAGACCGAAGCACAAAGTAAACCCTGAAACTGAACCATCAAAACCTGATCACGTTTATATTAAAACACAACCATGATCTGTTTCAGTTATTTATCAGGTAAAATACCAAATGTTATATTTTCTGGTACTGCAGGTTTTCAAAGCTAAACTTAAAATTAAATGTCCTTTATTTACACTGTGAATTTTAGCCTAATAAAATGACTCATTCTGACAGAATGGAGTGAAAACATCACTGCTGAATATAAATGTATGTTAGTTTTTACACACGCCAATTTATAAGAAAAGATGATATTATAAACATGTAAAGCAGGGCTTTTCAGTTAAACTGCTCCGGGGGCCACAGTTACAGCACAGGGCCTGAACTTCCAGCAGTTAAAGTCATTATGTAAGTAAACCAAGTTTTACWAAGTTCTGTTACCTTTGAAATAGTTTTTTTTGCATTTAATCATGAATACAACATACAGAACCCTAGGTAATAAAAGTAGAGATAACTAGATACAGCATAGCAGTAACATAATGACCCCCGCATGCACAAATGCACCAGAACTCACAAGTCTTTTTTCCTCATAAATGTCATGCTACTAGGTGCATCCCAAAATTGTAGTGGTTTGGGTGGGGGTCTTTTTATTTATTTATTTTTTTGAGGG